AGCGGGGTGGACTACCATAAAATATTATAATATAATAATTCACTGATTGTTATTATGTGAATAAAATTTTAATGATATTGCCACAAGAAATTCGTCTTCCTCTTCATCACAAGACTTTCTACCACCAGGAAATTATAATCGTTATTGATACATTAACATATAACCAAAGTCTGGTATAGAATGTTCCATAATAAACAAAATATTTGACTATGTTACTGATGCATCTAAAAATTATTTGAAAAAACTTTGCCCTCGTCCCGAGAGCGAATTTCTTCTGCAATGTCATTTAAATTTCATTAACATCACAATCGGTGAAGTTTCTCCTAAAATGGTAAAATCTCTAACATTTACAACACTGGCCACCCACGTCAAAATGGCTCGTAAAACCTTCATAGGTAAAGTTTTTCAATTGATAATGCGATAAAGGAGTAGTTATTATAATAATTGTTTCATTAAAACGTGATAGTTTAGTAATAATTGCTTGTTCATCGATAGCTGTATGCACTATGGAGCGTATATATTCAAAGTTCTCTTTCATGAATTGGCTTCATTTTTATTTTTGTTGCCCTTGTAGACAGATGAGCATACGGCCTATCTGATAGTGAGTGATTACCGTCGCCCATAGACTTCAACAATGCTAGGGGCGGAGCTAAGGCGCTGCCTACCGTTTTATGGTGGGATGCACTTACTATGAAGAAGTTACGAATTCGAGTTCACCTTTATGAGGTCGCTCTCATGGTACAGAGATTGTGTAATTGAAAAATCTGATATTTAGTTTTGTTCATCGCTAAAGATTATTTTTACGCAATTATTGTTGCTGTTATATGCGCCACTTTGAGAAGGCGGCACGACACGAAAACCTTCTTGTCGTGGCCGCCGGAAATTACATACCCGATCCTGTGGACCGAATGGTAAACAGTCGACGTCACCCAAAACACGTTATTACGGATCCTCCCGATCCAATAATGGTGCTTTTAGGTACCTCAAGCACCGGTCACCGTGGAAGCCAATCGTGAACATTTGTTGAGTACGTATTCCATTAGAAAAATTGGTACCCGCTTGGGATTCGAACATCGGTGCATCGCTCAATAGGAATGCACCGGACGTCTTATCCTTTAGGCCACGACGACTTCTCAAGTAAACAAATAAATACACAAAATAATAAATTACCAATTTAACAACTATACCTACGTTGATGTTCATTAACAGAATACAAATGAGACTTCGACATTTTGTTTCAAAATTAGCGAGTCCTGTGATCACTTAACAGTAGGTCGTTAACTCATGTAGTAGGAATATAAGCCATACGGTCTATATGCCTACGAAGGCCATTTAAAAAAACTTATTACTTTTTTATTAATAAACCTATCATAATATGAACGTAAACACGTGCTACCGACATTAAAAATTTTATATCTCACTAACAGAGCGTCATAAAAGATAATTACATTCGTACAAAGCGTATCAAAAGTATGAGCAACTTTGGGTGTAGATGAGTAGATCTAAATTTAGGGAATCGCATTTTTTTTAGTACCATCTCATATTATGTCACTTGAGTCATATCACAATGTGGATGCTGCAATCCACCATAAGACACGAGGTTAGAATCTCGATGATCATGTTCTTCGATCAATAATATTATTGATCGAAGATCATTTATCTATTTATCTATATATAAAAAATGAATTGCTGTTCCTTAGTCTCGCGACTCGAGAACGGCTGGACCGATTTGGCTAATTTTGGTCTTGAATTATTTGTGGAAGTCCAGATACGGTTTAAAAAGGTTAGATAAATATGAAAATGCTCGGAATTAAATAAAAACAAACAATTTCGTTTTTCCTTTGATGTATCCCCCGTCGGACGGATTCCTTTTGTTTGTTTTAAGTTTATTTTATACAAAAGTTTAGGTCTTTTATTTATCGATTGAAGCACTACGAAGTCTGCCGGGTTAGCTAGTATTGTATTTTTGTGACCCTTCAAGTCGACAAGTCATTTTACCCAAAAAAAAATAAGGTAGGTGATGGAAATTACCCGCGCGGACTAACACTGTACCAACTTTTTTTTCTACCTATGCTAATACCCTTGACGTGTGGGTGAGTTCACGGGGCTCAAACTGGAGTGGTGCTAACAGAGGCCCTAGCAAGAGCAGTGCTTCGCAGAATCTATCACCGTATCGGAACCGCGTCCCACTGAGAAGATCCGGTGAGGAACTCAGTGGGCTGTGTCTATGGGTTAATTTACACGTCGCAGGTGACGGGTTCGGCGAGGACGGTGCCCGGTGCTTGAGGTACCTAAAAGCACCGTTAATGGATCGGTAGGATCCGTAATGACGTGTTTAGGGCGTACTTTACTGCTCTATTCTATCCAATATCAAAGTAGAAAATTTTTCAAACTAATACCATTAAAAAATAAGCACTATGAGAACCATCTAAAGTCGTTTATCACGCGACCACATCTTAACGTGAAGCACGACTTATTCTTGAAATGTCGGCTATTAAAATTGAATTAAATATTGTTTAGCATCAAGCGGATCGTCCATCATCATTACGTAAAATGTTTGTAGCTGTAAATGAATGTAGTTCCGTTTATTCTTAATAATGTTTTGTCGTTGGGAGTCGACTGTTTGTTTTGGAAGCTACCATTGTATTTATAAATATAGCATCGTTATATACAGGTTTACATATTTAACAACTAGAATGGATTACAGTAAAATTATTTAGAATATAATAAAACATAAAATTAGAACAAAGATTGAATCAAATTGTAAGTAATTAAAGTCAAATTTACGTCATGACATATTAAATACGGACGTATTAAGAAATGAAAATTTCGCTGTAACAGTAATAAAAATATGCAGTGTAGGCTCTACTTTATACGAAATACGAATTTTTGTTTTCATTGAACAGTTGGGTGGACGAGCTCACAGGCCATCTGGTGTTAAGTGGTTGCCGGAGCCCATAGACATTTACAACGTAAATGCCGCCATCCACCTTGAGATATGACTTCTAAGGTCTCAGTACAGTTACAACGGCTGCCCCAACCCTTCAAAAAATAGGCAGGGTGATGGTACCTACCCGTGCGGACTCACAAGAGGTCCTACCACCAGTAAAGTGAGCTATTTGAGCTTCCCCGATGCGGCCTATTGATTCCATCCGGGAAACTCTCTCGTGTTGCAGATTGACGAGTCCAGCAAACTACATACTCCTAATACAGCGCGTCTGGTTTGTCTTACAAGTATGCTGTCCAATCATTTGATCCAAATAGAATTGTCACTTAATGCCGTTAGTAAAACTCCTTAGAAGGCACACCTTGTTACGGTTCTAGCGTCTATAAACTTAACAAAAACCAATTTCGCTGCGTTTAGTGATAAATCAAATGAATGCGGTGATCGACAATAACTTATTACGGATCTTGTAAGTACGTGAACGGAAAAAAAACGGGTCGTTTAAGTGCATTTAAGGATAAGTGAAATATGACGTGCTATGTGTTATAAAGATATTTCATATTATGTCGTAAATACAGTTGCACTCACTTTTCTAGGTTAGACAAAGACGTGTAAGGTATTATTAAGCTATTGCATAGCTTTTATCGCGGGCTTTGAGCGCGGCTACCGAATCAAGAAATTCCGTAACGAAAATAAAACCTAACACCCCCACTCCACCTACCATGTAGCTCGCGTTCAACACATTCACACGTTGCGCTTGTGTAGTGTTTGTGAATAAACGCGCGGCGTGACGTCGCACTGTATGTGCATCATGAAAAGTCGTCATGGTTAGGAATGACAGACTCACCGCCTCCAAAGGCGGGACTGCCATTTACTATAGGCGGGCCCTGCACGTTGTCCCTCTCGATACCCCCTCGCTCTCACATATCGAGGCGTCAGTGTGCCGTATCTCGCTGACGGGACACCAGCCGATCGTCATCGCATCCGTCTATCTCCCCCCGGACAAGCCCCTTCTGAGCAGTGACATCGNGAGTTTCTCGCCGGATCTTCTCAGTGGGTCGCGCTTCCGATCCGGTGGTAGATTCTGCGAAGCACTGCTCTTGCTAGGGCGGTGTTAGCAATTCTCCGGTTTGAGCCCCGCGAGCTCACCTACACAAGCTAGGGCAAGCTGAAATAGCCTCTCAAGGCTATCAGCATAGGTAGGAAAAAAAAAAAAAAAAAAAAAAAATGAAAAGTCTGCCCGTCTCTCTCTCGCGCGGTCTAGCTTATGAGTCTGAAGGGGACAGTTAATGTTTTGTCTTTATCGATGTTTATAAATATAGCGTGGTTTTATTTTATTATTGTTTTAATATTAAATTATTATTGTCTTATTGCAAAAGTTAATAAGAAAATGCTATGCAATAGCTTTACCGCGGCAGTCCCCGAGTGCCACACGTGTTTTTTTATCACTCATTTTTTCTGGGCACTTTTCTATGGCCCAACGTTTTCTGCCCAATCAGGATCAAGTTAAGCTATAATTCAACGGATTCTTACCACAATTTTCAAATAAAAGTCTTCAAGTGCCGTATACCTTTTGCTTGTCACTTGTAGCTTAAAGAAAAGCTATTTTCGAATATTTGTAAGGTGATTTAGTCCGATGAGTATTACTTAGTTTTATAGTATAAGTTGATGAACTTAATATTATGTGCGTATTGTGTTGCTTTTGTTTTTCTAAATTTCTCTTCTCTGTTCATTTTCTTCTTATATGTGATTTTGATGGTGGAAACATGTTTGGTTAATGTTTTAGCTAAATTTTTTTAAATATTATATTGTACTGTTGTTTATATTGTACTGTTGATTTCCCAAATAAATAAATACCAAAAGACAATTTATTTATTTATTAAGTTGCACCAACAAAGTGATCATCAATACAAAACATTGAACAATTGACAAAAGTTCATGGCAGATGTCACCTCAATTATAGGTGCAATCGACAGTGCATTAACAACAAAAATAAAATATGTAACTAAGAAACTATAAATTATATAACAATTATTAACGAAAATCGTTATTCTAGGTCCAGACATCCCGGGGTTCCTCCTGCAGCCGTTCAGGAAACCGAAGCGGATCCGGACGGCGTTCTCTCCGTCTCAACTCCTCAAGCTCGAGCACGCCTTCGAGAAGAATCATTACGTGGTCGGAGCCGAGAGGAAGCAGCTCGCGCAGGCGTTGAGCTTAACCGAAACTCAGGTAAGACTTATTTGTGACTAGCGACCCGCCCTCGCTTCGCTTCGGAATCATAAAATTTTATTATTATTTAGCTGAGTCCCACGATGCTACCCGCGGTTATTGTCGTACCGAGGGTGACGCCGCGGGGCAAAGCTAGTCTAAAAAAAGTAGCCTAAATTACTCCTCATATCATCAGATACCTATTAGTGAAAGTCTCATCAAAGTCGGTCCAGCTGTTTGAGATATTAACCGGAACAAACAGACAGACAGACAAAATAAACAAAAATTGTAAAAAATGTTATTTTGGTATAATATGTACTGTGTATACATACTTACACATTTAGTAAAAGGTGGTTATTTTATTATTACAAACAAACACTCCAATTTTATTTATATGTGTAGATTACTAATAACAGTTCCGGAGAATGGAAATTGTTTTATTTGGTAAAGTAGCATTTTTAGCGTCACTGTAGTCAGCGCCATCTTTAACCTATTGAAAGCCCTGGTCAATTTCATTTAATTCTTTTTTAAGTATGGCAATTATAATTTTGCATTGCCATTGTTGCTAGTCTCAAGTTTATGTTATATGCGTATATATTCTGTTATTTATATATTTTGTTATGCATATATACTCAGAGAACGCTGCCGCTCATTCACCAGTGAATAGCCTTTATTGACATCCACGGGAAGAGATAGGGTGGTGCTATTCTCGGTCTCATTAGAAAAACCAGCAGCATGCCTCAAGATATGTCACAGCATTCTCTTAAGGCGGAGCTAGGATAAATATTTTTTTTAAGGGATTTTATGACCTGGTGACTAAGATCTTTAAGTCATGTCTTATTTTAATTTATATTCATATTTTTATGAAAAATGATATTAAGGAGTGAAATGAAATGAAGATGATTAATTTGAGACATTAATCAACTGGGATGAAATTAAATGAAATGAAATGGTATGAAATATAATCTCAGTAAAATGGTGGTTATTTACTGAGACTTTTTCACAGGGCTTTTTGGAGGATCCCGAGAAGCTACGTTCAGCGGCTTTGTTTCGTTTTCCCACATTTACGCACTTGTACAGATATTAAACAGTTAATAAACCACCGTTATTACACATTTAAACATGAAGAAACACTAAATAAACAATATAAAACAAATCACACAACTTCACTCCTCGCGTTCCCGCCAAAAAGTCGCTAGGATAAATGAGATGGAAACAGCACAGATAATACTGCACCTTAAAAAAATAAGATCGAATTTGTACATATTTCTTGTTTAGGCGTTACATCCGACGACTTCTTTGCTTCACAAATAAACGGAATGGCGGAACTAAAATGAAAAATAATTTACGAAGTCCAAGATATGTAGAGATATTTTTTTTCCATGATTAGTGGTTAATAAATATTTAATAACTCACTGTTTTTAAATTGATAAGTACATTAATAACAGGCGATAGCCTCTTTAATATTTTCATTATATAATTAGTTCCGTCAAGAGTACGCGTTCAAAACTTAATGTTTGAAAATTAAACACCCGATAAAGAATTAATTATGACATGTACCTATACTGAAAAAAAGCAGCCGTTTTGGTGTATTGCCCAAAATTAAAACGGCGCCAAATTTAATTATGATTTTCAAAATGGCGATACTTGTCTTGGTCAATTTGTTTATTAGCCTATTCTGGTAGATGAGCGAGGGTTTTAATGTAATCATTACTAATAGCGTCAACGCTTTGATTTTCTCAAGAATCTTCTAAATAAAAATGCATAATTATGAATTTGTTTGCTTCTCCGTTTTATTGTTGTCGATTTGTTATATATCTTATTACCATAGCACTACAGGAAGTTTGGGAGTGTTTTTAAAATATTCGAACGATATTCCTGCATTTGATGATCTTTTTCTGTGTGTGTTCTTGTGAGTCCGCACGGGCACCCTGCCTATTTCTGCCGTGAAGCAGTAATGCGTTTCGGTTTGAAGGGTGGAGCAGCCGTTGTAACTATACTTGAGACCTTAGAACTTATATCTCAAGGGTGGTGGCGCATTTACGTTGAAGATGTCTGTGGGCTCCAGTAACCACACGACAAGGCACTCTATGGAGTCATTTCCATGAAGTCGTGTTTTAGGCAATGTCTGTTGAGTCCGCTAGTATTATATACACAAAAAGAGCACATAAACACATGCAGGGAGTGGTCTGAGGAATTGTTCGAGATGATACCGGCATCTCGTTTTTACCATCGCACCGCCCGCCACCGGAGTAGAGTTCATCCATACTACCTGGAGCCACTGCGGTCATCCACAGTGCGCTTCCAGAGGTCTTTTTAGCCACGTACCATCCGGCTAGGAATGAGCTCCCCTCCACGGTGTGTCCCGAGCGTTATGACATGTCCTTCTTCAAACGAGGCTTGTCTCTCCGTATTAAGCGGTAGGCAGCGGCTTGGCTCTGCCCCTGGCATTGCTGAAGTCCATGGGCGACGGTAACCACTCACCATCAGGTGGGTATGCTCGTATGCCTACAAGGGCAATGAAAAAAAAAAAAACATGTGTCTGTTTCGTATGAATTAATTACGGCCGCCTAATCAATCAGCTACATTCGGATATTACGCAAAACGAATGAAAACATCGAATCAAAATGTGTCTTCTATTATCGCTTATAATTTTTATCAAAGTTTGCCCTTTAACATTGTTGTAACGTTTGTGTCACGCGCATTAATTAATATAAATTTTTGTTTATGCTTCCACGAATTAATTACGGTGTTATTCTTTCGTTACGCAAGTGTCTGATTGTCTATGGCGTAGCTGCAAACTGTCAGGGCAGATATCGAGGCTGGGGGGCTGGGTATCGACGCGTCCCTCCACCCGTGGGACCGCGAATTCAAAGTTAACAAATAGAATAAAATTTAATAAAAACTATTATAAATTTCGAAATAAGCACTTAAAATCAATTAAGCTTTTAGATGTATAAAGACATTGTGTTTACTGAAAATTAAATAAATTAGATAAATAACTAAAACGCACACAATACCCGCAGCTGATTTATTAAAATTAAATTTATTTTAAATTTCAAATTTAATTAAATTACAATTGCAATTTTATTATGCGTGGTAGGGCATCCGTGCGGGTAGGTACCACCACCCTGCCTATTTCTGCCGTGAAGCAGTAATGCGTTTCGGTTTGAAGGGTGGGGCAGCCGTTGTAACCATACTGAAACCTTAGAACTTATATCTCGAGGTGGGTGGCGCATTTACGTTGTGGATGTCTATGGGCTCCAGTAACCACTTCACACCAGGTTGGCTGTGAGCACGTCCACCCATCTAGACAATAAAAAAAAACAATTAATTGGATTAAATTATGGTTAGCGGTGCCTGAGCTATTTCCCAGTGTATTTCGTTTTGAAAACCTGTATCTCTATGTATGTCCGTCGCCCAGAGCGCGCGACTAAGTAACAAAAGGTCGTCCAGGTGACCATTTATCTAGCAACACTGACTGTATACGAAATAATAAGCACATGTCGTCCGTAATAACGATATTAAGTTAAGATAAACGCTAATTTATTTAGATCAGAGGTTAGCGCGTCATTATTTTAGCAGCCCCTATCTTTGTTCGGTGTGAGGCAATCGTAATATGATTTCTCAACGCTTCCAGTTGCTTTTGGGGTTGCTTCTTTTTGTTTTTTTAGCTTAACCAAATCTTTTTGTGAGTGTGAAAAGCGGGGAATCAGAAAAAAAATGTACATAATCTATACTAATATTATAAAGAGGAAAGATTTGTTTGTTTGTTTGTTTGTTTCGAATAGGCTCCGAAACTACTGGACCGATTTGAAAAATTCTTTTTCCATTAGAAGCCGACATTGTCCCTGATGAACATAGGCTACTTTTTTTAATTTTTTTATTATTATTATTTTTTGGTTTCATGTGTGTTTTAATGTTTCCGAAGCGAAGCGAGGGCGGGTCGCTATAATATATAAACTGTTTCTCTATTGGAACAAAAAAACAATCATATCGTCTAAGTAAGTTGTGGTTACAGAGACTTTTAGGCTTCGAGTCACTAAAAATTGTAAAACTGAACAAAACGAATACAAAGTTGGCTTGGTTATCTTCTTCGGGTCTTGGTTTCGTATAACTTCGTCAGGTCCATATTCTGGAGTAGCATTTACGATGTCTCCCCGAATCCTGATCACGCAGGAGCCAGTCACCGTCGTCGCCCTAGACACGTCCTTACGGATCCATCAGATCCAATAGATGCCTTCAGCTCTAACACTAAGAGCAGGCTTGGGGACCCCGGTAACCGTACTCGTCGAACTCGACAAAGAGTTCGACGTGCAACCTAACCCATGCATCAGCCCGCTGAGTTTCTCGCCCGATCTTCTCAGCGGGTCGCGCTTCCGATCTAGCAGTAGTATTCATTCGCGAAGCAGCTGCTCTTGAGTTGTTAGGTCTCCTTCGGAGGCGCTCGGGCAGCTGTTAACAAATCCCACCCCTCCTGGCTGAGCCTTTGCTCGCCCACCTGTCCTGGTGAAACTGGAAAGGCCTCCGGACCACCAGTAATCCTTCAATCATAAAAGCAAAGCATTTACGAGCGGCGTATTTCGTATCAGCACCTGGGACTGTGGATACTGCCTCCTCATTGCCTCTTTTCTTTCATTTGACCCATTCAGGTGTATCTCAAGGTCCTTTCTGACTTATTCAAGTAATTTATATACGCTTCCACGTCACTTTTACTGGTGGTAGGACCTCTTGTGAGTCCGCACGGGTAGGTACCACCACCCTGACTATTTCTGCCGTGAAGCAGTAATGCGTTTCAGTTTGAAGGGCGGGGCAGCCGTTGTAACTATACTTGAGACCTACTAACTATATCTCAAGGTGGGTTGCGCATTTACTTTGTAGATGTCTATGGACTCTGGTAAACGCTTCACATCAGGTGGGCTGTGAGCTCGTCCACCCACCTAAGCAATAAATAAAAAAAGGCCCGTGATTTGGGCATCTTAAGCTTCGGGTAAACACAACCACAAAATAAATTTCTAATC